CCGCCTGCATTCCAGGAATACGGGTTTCAGGAACTTTAAGCGCTCCAGTAACTGAGGTGTTTTATCCCCGTTATGCATGCTGTGAAGGTTCTCTGTACTTTTTTCTAGGTCAGGCAATTTCCCCTGCCTTGAAAGGTGCTGTTAGTGTGCAGCAGTATTCCACCCTTAGATAGAACAAGCGACCTAAAGAGTGTCATCATGGGCTTGGCATCCCTAGTTTTGAAGGTTCTCATTACCCACCCTGTCATTTTCTAGCAGCTGCGACTGATGTAATTTTTATGGTCCTTGAAGGCGAGTCCTCTGACATGATTACTCCCAGGTCTTTGACTTTGGTTTTTCGCTCTATTTTGGGGCCCGGGAAAATTTGTTTTGCACTTGTGAAGTTTTAATTTCATTGTGTTTCCATATCGGAGTAATTGAAATTTCTTATCGTTGAACTTCATATTGTTTTTCTGCAGCCCATTGAAAGATTTGGTGATGTCTGCCTGGAGCCTTGCAGTCTGCAATGGAAGACACTGTCATGCAGATTCGGGGGTCATCTGCAAAGGAAGACCCCGGTGCTGTGGCTGACATCCTTGTCTATGTCAGATATGAGGATAAAGAAACAAGATGGGAGTGAGTACTGTGCCTTGTGGAACAGAGCTTTTCACCGTAGCTCCCTCGGACTTTACTCTGTTGACGACTACTCTCTGTGTTCTGTTAGTGAGGAAATTATAGATCCATCTACCAACTTTTCCGTTTTTCCTTTAGCAACGCATTTTGTGTGCTATTACGCCATGGCCCACACATGTCAAAGGCTTTTGGCAAAGTCTGTAATATATTACATCTGCATTCTTTTTGTTTTCTAGTGCATCTAGGGCCTTGTCATAGTGATCCAATAGTTTTTGTTATGCTCTTGTTATTGAAGTTGAATTTGGTGAAGGCTCCCTCATGACTAATCTCATTATGTCGGTTTTGGGGCTCCGCGCATACATGTCTGAACCTCAATTATGTTTTTGATCTGAGTATATTGTTTTTGATATGGTGAAATTTCGTATTTAGATCATCATTGTTAGTGAAAATGAGGTCTAGTGTTATTCTCCAGTCTATTAGGCTCTATTATTTTCTGGTTTAAGTTGAATTTTTGGTGCAGAGATTTAAAAGCTCATGTGTGTGTGAGTTTTCGTCAGAGCTGCCTCCTGGTGTTATCACTGCAACAACTTATTTGCTATATTCCCCATTTTAGGTGCCTTAAGTTGAAATCCCTCAGGAGCAAGATGTTGGGGGCAGGAGCTGGCACATTTTCCAGACAGTGGTCAATTTTTAACAGCTGTTCTGGAATTGCTGGGACGTTGCATCTGGAGGCTTGTAGACTACCACAATGACTAGGTTTGATTCTCAATCTTTACTGCTAAAACTTCCACTACATCATTTGAGGCATTAAGCAGTTCTGTGCAAAAAAAGTGACTCTGCGATATACAGGCTAACCCCCCCCCCCCCCTTTTGCCTGTTCACTCTGTAAATCTGTATAGGTTGTAACCTGGGATCCATATTTCAAATTGTCCAAGTGATCCTTTATGTGGGTCTCTGTGAAAGCCGTGAACACTGCATTTGCTCTGCAAGCAGTCCACGGATGAAAAAGGGATTTTGTGTTCGTTGGGTGGCTTTAGACCCTGTATATTTTCAAAGGTCATCGGATGGTGGGATTGGTGGTACTGGGGGGGGGGGGACTTCTTTTTCCGGCATTAGTATCTGTATCTGTTTTGGGTTTTGGAGTGGAGGCCATCGACTGTGGGTTCCCCTCCAGGAATGACTGGATTTGGTGTCGATTTCTGCCATTTCCTGCCATTTTTTTTTCCTTCCTGGGACAAAAAAACCTCTCCCTCTTGAGTGGTTGTGGCTACCCAAAGGGTTTTTCCCCTGGTCTGGGGTTTTGTATCTTTTTGTCCCCTTTAGATGGTGGCTGGCAATTTAAGTTTAGCACAGTCTTTCCTGTACTGAAGAGGGGCACATTTTTAGGGTGAAAAAGCTTACAAACTACTGCAATACTGTTTAAAAATTGTATAAATAATGTCAACTGTATATCAGAATGGCTAGTTGAATATTTATTGGAAAATGCCCATCATTTGTTTACTTTTGAACACGCAAAAAACAAACATTTTCCCTACTCTGAGGCATTTCAAGGTTCTTTTCTAAAAAAACCCAATCAAATCCCTCTATTTCTATATTGTTTTCCAATCTATAAAGTGGACCAAGAAAAACGAGAAAAAACCCATAAATTATACAAAATGACCACAAAGTGGGGTGTTTTAACTAAAAAAACGGTCGAGTTTTTTTTTCTCATTATGCACGCATGCTGCAGGATTTTTTTTATATGGTGCACTTTTTTTTCCAAAGACCCATTCTCACTGGGGGCCCTCCCAGCTTTCCCTGTTGATTTGAAACCGCTAGAATTTAGACAGTGTCTTCCTTTTGAGACACTGCAAGGCTCCAGGCGGACATAAACCAAATCTTTTGGGCTGCAGAAAAAACAATATGAAGTTAAACGATGAGAAATTTCAATTACTAGATATGGTAAACTGGGGGGAAATTAAATCTTCATCAGAGTACAAAAAAATTCTGGCCAAAAAAATAGAGCGAAACAAAGTCAAAGATGGGAGTGTTTTTATGTCGGGGATCTCACCTTCAAGGACCAAACATTGTATAAATCACATCTCTAGAAAAATGACAGGTGGATAATGAGAACCTTCAAAACTAGGGGGCCAAGCCATGATAAACCTTCGGTCCTTGTTTATCTAGGTGGAATATTGCTGCACTCTAACAGCATTTCGGGCAGGTGAAATTGCCGACCCAGAAAAAGTAAGGAACTTTCACGGCGGCATAATGGGATAAAACCCTAATTATGGGAGGCTTGAGGTTTTTTAAACCTGTATTCCCCCGGAACGCAGGAGGGGAGTACATGTTTATACACCTGGAAAATCCCGGGGATAGTACCGAACTTGCACACGAAAATCACTCATACGAAAGCAAAGACTTGGCAGACGATGCACCATCCCCCAATGAAAAGCAGGGTGTCCTGCACTTTAAAAGACCTAAATAAGTTCGGGGCCGGGACTGTTCAAATGCCTCCCCCGACACTAAGGGGATTACCAACAGACCCCCGGCAGTTTTTAAGCTGGCACTGGACAAGCACCTAAAGTCAGTTCTGATCGCCGGGCTGTGGCTCGTACGTTGGTTTGCGTGCAGGGCCCGCCCAACAGCCCGGTTGATCAGGCGCTGATCCACCAGGAGGGCCCGGTCCGCCGGGCCGCGGGGGCGTTGACCCCCCCAAAAATTCTCCCGGTAAAATCAGGTAAATTGTAAAAACTCAAACACGTGGCTCATAAAAATTTTATAACCCCCGAAACAGTCAAAGGGTTTTTTAAAAACAAACATTGTCGTTTTTTTTTTTCTTATGCTCTGTGTGCTGAGGTTTTTTTGTACTGCACCACACCTGAAACCCT